TTTACAGTGAACCATGACATGATGTGGTATGAACCATGCCAGTGGCATGAGCCAAAACTCTCAAAGGGTGAGGACAGCATCCTTCACCTTCTGCCCTTAATGTCAGGCAAACTATGTTGCATAGAGGACTTCAGCACAGACTTCTCTACCAAATGAATGCATGCTCAGAAGACAAAGCAGAAGCCTTGGATGCACTGTAAATTGAATCTTTTAGGATTTAATGAAAGCCCATTAAGGACAGTGGTTTACTTTCTCTGTATTTTTTTCAGAGATTTTATTTATTTATGTGAGAGTGAGCAAGCACAGGTGGGAGTGAGGGGTCAGAGGGAGGGGGAGAAGCAGTTTCCCCCGCTGAGCAAGGAGCCCAGTGGTGAGCTCCATCCCAGGACACCGAAATCATGACCAATGGGAGCTGAGGGCAGACGCTCAACCGACTGAGCCACCCAGGCAGCCCACTTTTTCTATATTTTGTTGTTATATGTTTGGGATTATTGTTAGTATGTTTTATTTGTCTTTCATGAAAATTTCTTTAAACTCTTTGTTAATCCCATTTTAAATAAACTTTCCTATCATGAAGTTTTAACATGAAAACATAAAAACAGCATATCTCAGATGCTTGTCTAGAGAACAGCAAATCCCTAATTATCTATTTCCATGTGAGTCACAGATAATATGGGACAAATTTCCTTCTCTATTGCTCCCTTTTCCCACCACCTACCTGTACTCTGGCCACCTACCCTAACTCCTAGCTGATGTGCATTGAGAAAATCAGAGTAATTTTTTTTAAAAGATCTTATTTATTTATTTGACAGAGAGAGAGAGAGAGAGAGAGAGATCACAATTGGGCAGAGAGAGGGGGAGGTAGATTCCCCACTGAGCAGAGAGCCTGATGCCGGGGCTCGATCCCAGGACCTGAGCCGCCGGAGGCAGAGTCTTAACCCATTGAGCCACCCAGGTGCCCCAAGAAAATCAGAGAAATTTTATCCTTAGCCCGAGCAATATACCAGTAGAAAATTCTCACCTGTGTGAGAATCCTGTAATGTCAGGTAAAGTAAATGATTGTGAGGTCCACTAACACTCTCCCCTTTTTTTTTTTTTTTAAGATTTTATTTATTTATTCGACAGACAGAGATCACAAGTAGGCAGAGCAGCAGGCAGAGAGAGAGGGGGAAGCAGGCTCCCCGCTGAGCAGAGAGCCCGATGTGGGGCTCGATCCCAGGACCCTGGGATCATAACCCGAGCCGAAGGCAGAGGCTTAACCCACTGAGCCACCCAGGTGCCCCACACTCTCCCCTCTTTTAATGTGTATAATTCATGCTAATGTATTTTATTTCTGAGGTCAACTGAAAGATAAGGTAAGTGATCATGTTGGCTATGGGAATACTTAGCATTATTGTGGGAGATTAAAGCTGTTTTATTCTTGTATTTATGGTTCTTCTGATTCTTATGGTGGAGTCAAACTTGGTGAATTGCTTGCTTTTTCTTAAAGAGCTTTACGACTCCAGATGAAAGCCATGGCATCCTGTCCTCCAAACTCACTGGAGTCAGTGGCTCCATGTGTGACAGCTGTTGTGCATCAATGGGATCACCACAGGAGGACGAATGCATTTCAAATACCTACGTGCCCCTCAGGTAAGAACTACTGTTTTAAAGAAAACTTGGAAAGTAATTCTGATACTTCATAACTAATCTGCACTCTGCAGATGCATTTGAAAGTATATTTTATGATAAAATGTAAACTCAAAGTAAGAAATACAGGGAATGTAGAAAAGGAAATATACGTTCCTACTTCTCGATTCTTAGGTCAACAATTGTTGATTGTTGAATCATGGATATCCATATTTTATAGTTTTCCCTGAATCTGAAGATTTTTTTTTTTTATTAGAACCATAAGTGGGGAGGTGTAGTGTTCATGGTAGTCCCCACTGTGTCAAGAAGCTGTTGCAGTTGCACAATCACCAATATTTCTTTAATGAAGGAGAAGCAATTTATTCCATTTAGCACAGTACCCAGTTATTATTAGTTATTCTCTTTATTATTTTTAATATGCAATACTGTATCTTCAGTTACTGATGAATCTAAAGTGGAAAGGTGAAGCAGCTTTTCTAAAATCACGTTAGTGTTGCAGATGTGATTTGAGTCTAGGTTGTTGTTCTAAGCTTAGGTTCTTATTGTTCATTAAAATCCATCTAAAACTTTGGGTCAAGAAGTAGATGTTAAGTTTATTCTTAGGAAAATCCTCAGTCATGGCTTAATCCAAGTGAGCTGTGATACTCTCTTAAAAACTGTATCCTTGAATCTTTCATGCCAGGTATGTGGGTTACATACAGATTTGCATATGAATATTACTATGTCTGTTGTTCTGTGTGACAGAATACTTAAACGAATATAACAAAGCAAGATCTAAAGATAAAACGTGGAGCGAACTAAAATATTATGTTGCTTCATCATTCTTCTACCAATTCAATTTCATGATTCTATAACACATTGGTTAAATGTCATAATAAGATAAGGAGTTAGGAGATAAAAGGAAGCACAGAAAATTTGTTAATATAAAAGGAATTACAGGATACTTCCAGAAGGAAGCTGATCTTGATCAGTGAGATGAAGGAAAGGGAGGATCTTATTGTGAAGACGGACACTCTAGAGTTAGGTCTCCAGACTTGCTTTGCATCATAATCACCTGAGGAACATAGTAACTATTCAGGGCTCAGAACTGACCCCTGCAGATTCAGATTCAGTTGGCTTAGTGTGGGACCTGGGAATGCTGAATGTTTTTATCAATACTTGACTGATGCTGGTGTAGTAAGCCTTCATACTTTTTTTTTTTTAAACATAAGTTTAGGACCCAGTCCAAAGTTTTGTTTTAATTTTTCTTAAGATTCTTTTTCTTTTTTTCAATATTTTAGTTATTGAGAGAGAATAAGTGGGAAGGAGAGGGAGAAGCAGACTCCCTGCTGAGTGGGGAGCCAGACGCAGGGCTTGATCCTAGGACCCCAGGATCGTGACCTGAGCTGAAGGCAGACGCTTAACCAACTGAGCCACCCAGGTGCCCCTTTTCTTAAATTTCAATCTTCAGCATTTAAAAAAAAGTTTTGATGTCATTCTCTCTCATCATCAGATTTTTTCTGGCTTTCTTTTTTTGGAATATGTACAAGGTAATGTCTGTTCTTTAATAGAAGCCAAGATTCTGATCCATTTTTGCTGTTTATTATGTTATTCTAATATCTCTTCTGCTAAATCAGATGAAAGTCTATTTTCTCATTTCCTTGGAATTAAAAATGGAATAAGGCTCTTAGAGTGTATGATTATGGGCTATTGACATATTTGTATTTACATTTCCTTTAAATATCAAAGTTTATTGCCACAAACACCAGTAGTGTTTGACTGAACCTTCTTTTTTAGCACAGAAATGACTACTTTCCAGAATCAGCTTTCTTTCTTCCAATGTTTGCTACAGCTCTGAAAATTGGATAAATACTCCAGTGACTTACCTAAAGGATTTCTGCAACTAGTGAACTATTACTCTTTGGCATTTGTTGGTATTTCCTAAAAGCATCTAGAAGTCTTAGTTCCTTCCTTCTCCAATCCTATATAGTGCACTAAGGAGGTTTCCCTCAACTGTTTTGATGCCATATGTGTATACACACACACACACACACACACACACAGAGATGTATACACACACACACAAACAAATGAATGTGTACTGGGGAGATATACAATGTGTGTACACATATGTATATACATATATGTATGTGTGTATGTATGTATGTGCATATCTCCCCAGTACAGGCTCAAAACTCATGACTCTGAGATCAAGACCTGAGCCAAGATGAAGAGTCCAACACTTAACTGACTGAGCCACCCTGGACATGCAAAGGATTAAAATAATTTTTTAATCTATTTATTTATTTATTTGAGAGAGAGAGAGCAGGGGGAGGAAGAGACAGAGGGGGACAAGCAGACTCCATGCCAAGCATGGGGACAGAGGTGGGGCTCGATCCTTCACCCTGAGATCATGACCTGATGATCGAGGGTGGAGGATATTGAGGGACTTATTGCAAGGAATTGGCATATGCAATTGTGGGAGGCTAGCTTATCAAGTTCAAAATTCCTAGGGCAGGCAATTACGAAAAAAGGTTGGAATCTCTCAAGCAGGAGGTGACACTGCATTTCATAAGTGAAATTTCTTATTCTGCAGGGAAACTTTGTTTCTGCTCTTAAAGCTTTTCAACTACTTGGGTTAGACCCACCCTGACTGTGAGTCTGTTATCAGAGAAAAATCTACTTAAGGTCAACTGACTGTAGATGCTAATTGCATCTATCAACTACCTTCACAGTAACACTTCAATTAAAATCTGAATAACTCAGCACCATAGCAAGGTGCACATAAAACCATATCACAGCCATGTTTGGAAAATGCTATAGTAAAGAAAGTATAAAATACCAAGGACAGACAAAACAGGAGCATTTATCTTAGACTAAAGCAGATTCAGATGTTTTCCTGAAAGAGATGACAATTAAGGTAAGACCTGAGAGATGAGTAGGAATTAGTTAGATAAAGAGGTAAATAGAGAATATTCTGGGATGTGGGAAGTGTAAGCAAATACCCAGAGACCATAGAGAACTAGAGATACAATTTTTTTCTTCTTATCAGATTTTTTCCCTTTCTTTTTTTCAGAATACCTATGAGGAGATGGTTGTTCTTTAATGGGAGCCACAATTTGATACTTCTTTTCTCTTTTGTAATTATTGTATTAACTTGTAATGTCCTTAGTGCTGAACCAGATGAAACTCCATTTTCATGTTTTAATCAGCATTCCCAATTACAGGTGAGATGAAGCACCATTTGTAGGTTTAGTTGACAATCAGGTTTCCACCTCTATAGATTGCCTGTGTGTAACCTTTGCACATTTTCTATTGGGTAAGTTTTTTTTCCCTTATTCATTGTGTGTGATTTGGATATGACTAGAAATCTTTTGTCTTTATATGCATTGCAGAAAGAGTCTCCCAGAGAACAGCAGTCCATACTAAGAGGATTTTGTAGACTACAGTTTGCAGGTGAGTGCAAGGGGATTTCATTAAGTCAGAACGTACTGGGGTGATCTTGATTCTGGACCCAAGTCTCACTTACAGGACAGAGTCCCTATATTAAGCAGGAACAATAGGGGCGAAGGGAAGAAGAAGCCGAAGGAGACAGCACATTTCACAAAGTACAGTATTTTTAAACAATTCAAATAAATGAGAGAAAAGGGAGCTCTAGAATCTGGAAGCTAGGAAAACTATCCTGGTTTCCTTCTGGTACAAAACACTCATCTCGCTGAAATATTAGCAATAAGAAAGAAAAGCAGCTGAGCACATTAAAAATTATTATCAATGGGAACCAGGACAAATAAAAAAGGGGTGCCTGACTGGCTCGGTTGGTAGAACATGTGACACTTGATCTCAGGTTGTGAGGTCAAGCCCCATATTGAGGGTAGAGATTATTTAAAAATAAAATCTTAAAAAAAATATTATTATCAGAAAAAAGGGCTAATTAGAAGCAGAATAACATTCTTTCACATAATGTAAACACACCAGAAAGACATGATAAAATAAAGGAAAACTATATTCTAATATTGTAAATCAACAAGCTGAAAGAAGTTAAGAAAATAGTAGAGGATATAAAAGGACAACTTAAATTGGAATCAAAATAACTCAGAAAGAATACTAACAGAGAAAAGAAAGCATGAAGATTTGAAAATGAACCTTAAAAAACAAGGAAAAGATGGTCAACAAACGCATGAAAAGTGCTCCACATCACTTGGCATCAGGGAAATACAAATCAAAGCCACAATGAGATACCACCTCACACCAGTCAAAATGGCTAAAATTAACAAGTCAGGAAATGACAGATGCTGGCAAGGATGCGGAGAAAGGGGAACCCTCCTACACTGTTGGTGGGAATGCAAGCTGGTGCAGCCACTCTGGAAAACAGCATGGAGGTTCCCTAAAAAGTTGAAAACAGAACTACTGTATGACCCAGCAATTGTGCAACAGGGTATTTACCCTAAAGATACAAAGGTAGTGATCCGAAGGGGCACGTGCACCCGAATGTTTATAGCAGCAATGTCTACAATAGCCAAACTATGGAAAGAACCTAGATGTCCCTCAACAGATGAATGGATAAAGAAGATGTGGTGTATATATACAATGGAATACTATGCAGCCATCAAAAGAAATGAAATCTTGCCATTTGCAATGACGTGGATGGAACTAGAGGGTATTATGCTTAGCGAAATAAGTCAATCGGAGAAAGACAACTATCATATGATCTCCCTGATATGAAAAAGTAGAGATGCAATGTGGGGGGGTTGGGGGGTAAGAAGGGAGGGAGACAAACCATAAGAGACTCTTAATCTCACAAAACAAACTGAGGGTTGCTAGGGGTGGGAGGCAGGGATAAGGTGGCTAGGTTATGGACATTGAGGAGGGTATGTGCTATGGTGAGTGCTGTGAATTGTGTAAGACTGATGATTCACAGACCTGTACCCCTGGGGCAAATAATACACTGTATGTTAATAAAACAAACAAACAAATAAATAAGTAGAAAGAAAACTAAGGAAAGTGTGAGAAATAAAAATATTGTAGAAAGGGAAACTAAATTTGAAGCAATATGTTAAATTAATAAATACCAGGGGCAGTATATAAAGAGAAGCACAAAATGGGAAGGAAGAAAATTTTAACTTAAAAATATGAAAGAAATGAAAAAGGATTTTAGAGCAATTGACACAGAACTTCAGCAAAGTGTGTGTGTGTGTGTGTGTGTGTGTGCGTGCGCATATTTGTGTGTAAATTCCTGAGGAACAAAGCCAAAACTGCTGAAGAGAACAGAACAAATATAAAGAAATAATCACTGAAGAAACCCATTGTGAAATAAAAGGCAGCTTGAAGTCACATGTTGAAAGAATATATGATATAGCCTGGAAAATCAGCCCAGAGTGGATATTCTGGTAAAATAATTAGAACTAAAGGAAAAGAAAAATGAATTAAAAACAAATATTCAATAACAAAAAGTGTAAGAGTCTCAGTCTCTCTCTTTCAAAGACTATGAAAAAAGTCATGCTCCAGGATTCCTTTTGAGGGGTAGCATTAGCTGAGTGTCTTCTGGGCTCCTGCCAGTCCTTGGGCAGTTGGGGCCCTAGCCTAGCCCTGGGACCTCACCCTACAATGTTCTTCCAGCAGAGAGCAATGCAGCCAACACAAATTTGTGCCCTTTATACATTCCATTATGTGCATTCATGCTTGATCAAAATGAAGGAGAGTGAGGATCTGAGAGAAGACAAACTAATGCCTAATCTCAAGGATAAAATGATACATGCAGATATACTGCATTCATAGGCAGTAAAAAATGAAAGGTTAAACCAGGGCTATGCCTGCTGTTGGATAATCATAACCATAAGGTACCAGGAGAGCAAATGCAAAGGTGGTATAAATCATTTCTGTGTTAAGATCTGAAGAGCTCTCCCAATGCTAAGAGGAAAAAATTTCTCTCAATGATAGATGAATTCCATTATTAGACATTCATTCCTTTGGTTTAAGCCGTATCCTTGGCACATTGGAAATATTCAAAGTACTTGGCTATTATGACAGAAATGCTAATAGCACACTCAGGGTCCTTTTAATCTTCTCAGTTATTTGGAAAACTAAGGCATAATTGTTCCCACACTTTCTTAAAGCTGCTGTCTGAGAGCAAATTTTGTCCAATTAAATGTCTTTTGTGGAATTGGAAGGCAGAACTATAGACGTTATTTTTTTTAACACTTTAGTTTCTTGTGTGAAATTCCATTCTACTTAAAACATCTATAAGTAGCTTTTATTTATTTTTTTTAATTTTTAAAAATGTTAAATAAACATATAATGTATTATTAGCCCCAGGAGTACAGGTCTGTGAATTGCCAGGTTTACACACTTCACAGCACTCACCATAGCCAATACCTTCCCCAATGTCCATAACCCCACCACCCTCTCCCTACACCCCCACCCCCCGGCCACCCTCAGTTTGTTTTGTGAGATTAAGAGTCTCTTATGGTTTGTCTCCCTCCCTTCTTACCCCCCAACCCCCCCACATTGCATCTCTACTTTTTCATATCAGGGAGATCATATGATAGTTGTCTTTCTCTGATTGACTTATTTCGCTAAGCATAATACCCTCTAGTTACATCCATGTCGTTGCAAATGACAAAATTTCATTTCTTTTGATGGCTGCATAGTATTCCATTGTATATATATACCTCATCTTCTTTATCTACTCATCTGTTGGTGGACATCTAGGTTCTTTCAATAGTTTGGCTATTGTGGACATTGCTACTATAAACATTCGGGTGCACGTGCCCCTTCGGATCACTACGTTTGTATCTTTAGGGTAAATACCCAGTAGTGCAATTGTTGGGTCATAAGGTAGCTCTATTTTCAACTTTTTGAGGAACCTCCATGCGTAGCTTTTATTTTTAAAACTGACCAGGACTCTCACAGATGTGAATAAGCATGTCTACTGGGGAGAATGGATGAAGCAATGTAAGGGAATAAAATTCTCATAAAAGCACGAGCTCTAAAACATGCGAAGTGAACACGGCTCAGGAGAAAACCAGTCCCATTTTGTACGTGGCTAAAAGATGGCTTCTTTAAAAACTAGTTCTTCTGGAAGAATTTACCAGGATATAGTTGGTCTATAGCTGGTCTTTGCCATAAAAGTAAAATAATCATCCTTGGGGTCTCCCATCTAAATTCTAAGTAAATCTAATTGCTATCACACAATGTCCTTAATCTGCTCTTGGTTCTTTTATATCCACCTCCTACTCCATTTTAAGAAGTCAAAAATATAAAATAGCCTTACAGCTATTTTAGTTAAATGGTACTATTTTCTAAACATATAAAGAGGCTAAGTACAGTAGAACTACTTTCCTAATATGATCTATACTTGATTTAATGACTAGATATGATCTAACTTTATCCCACACCCAGAAGGACTGCAGAGAATAAAAATAAAATGAAAGACGGCCAGTCTAAACATTTCATGCTCAACACACATGACAGAAGTAGGAATACATTTTCTTAACAACCTCCTATTCTGCCTCATCTCCTCTAGGAACCTGGTATTCCTATTCCTACAAACACAACAGAAAGCATTTCATGGCGGTATTTTGGCCAGTGAAAACTCCTGAAGTTCTGAGGCAAAAGTAACAAGTTATTCCTAGGTTTGCCACAGGCAAAGCAATGAAAAGGAGGAATCACTCTCGCTCATGGTTTCTGGGTCTCTGCTGGGCCGTTGGGCTTCTTGGGGAGACTATTCTTCACATCCCCATTGTAACTGGGAATTCCTATGGATGGTGCTTATTGGTCCTGAAGAGAAGTTGGGCACTGATTGCTCACCTGTGTTTGACGACTGCTTCATGGGGCGCTGAGGACAACTGGCCCAGAGCTGAAGGGCTTCCAAAGAGCCTTTGTGGTCTTCTGGGTCTTTGATGCTGAAGACTGACTCTGTGTTATAGCAGTCAGTACAAGATCTAACATCGGCAAGTTGATTGATTTCACACCAGCTATAAGGATATTTGCCTGGAAATAGAAACACAGTTTCTGCTTTGTCCTGGGAGCACAGTTATCCAGGGACACACCCCTCACAAGATGGCAGCCTGGATCGCTGGCCTTGACCCACACAGTGGACTTGGTCTTTTGCCTCATCAAAGAAGAAACTGCAAGAACATCCACTCGTCAGCTGTCCCCTTGCCTGCAGACCTCCCTTAAATCAGACAAAGCTGCAGAGAAGAGACCAAGAAACTCACCTCTGGATTGAAAGTGTCACAACAATTCATTGCTGTCACAGTGACCATGCCCGAGTTCTCACTCCCTGTCTGTAGGCTCTGCACTCACACACAGCTCTCACCTGCTTGGCTGCTTTCCGTTGTAGCCCTGAGCACAAGTTAGTTGAAGCTGTTGTTGCAGAAGACCGTGAAGCCTCTGACCATTATTTGTAAATGCTCACTTGGTATCTATTTGCTCCATGTTTACACATAATTCTGGCTAGCCCCATTTTTCTCCTCATCAGTACAGATGAATTGTGTAGATGTCCCAAAACCCTTTTTATAGTTATTGACCATAATTTACAGGTTTGCGTGCAGAGTCTATAGGCTCTCTGGTCCTTTATTTTGCAAAGCATTTTATCTAGTTTTCCATACGAGTTGATATAACTTGGCATTTGAAAGGGTGATCTTTTGGTATCACCATAAAATAGCCATCCCCCCTCTTTTTTAAAGATTTTATTTATTTGTCAGAGAGAGAGCACAAGTAGGCAGAGCAGCAGGCAGATGAGAGAGAGAAGTAGGCTCTCTCCTGAGCCGGGAGCCGGATGTGGTGCTCGATCCCAGGATGCTGGGATCATGACCTGAGCCGAAGGCAGCCTCTTAACTGACTGAGCCACCCAGGCACCCCAAGCCATCACTTTTGAGTGCCTCCTTCATGCAAGGCAAGGTGCCAGGTGCTCAATAAATTATCATCTTTCCTGCTGGATAGTGAGCCTGCAACGAGCCCAGGCATGCATCTGAGAGGTTTGGGGAAGGCAGATTCCTTCTGCCATGGCTTTGGCAGTTGGTTTTATTTTGAGAATTAAAGACATTGCTCTCTTAAGGCAGAGGACTATGTACTGATTGCATTTAATTGAGCGTATTGGGCCAATGTAGTTTGATAAGTAATAATGATAGCCAATGTTCTTAAGTATCTGCGCTGTGCCAATCAATGTGTCTGATTTTTAACATGAAATATCTTTACTCCAGCCAGGTAGTTACTACTATCTGCATTTTATATGGTGAGAAACACTGGCTCCAGGGGTGCATCGTCTGCTCAATGACACTAGGTGAGTGACAGAGCCAAGACTCAACTCCACTTGCATAAGAACCTGAAGCCAGACTCTTCCCAATCCTAGACAACTCCAGTTAGAGAGGAAATCCCCTTAACTGCACCTTATGGTTCCTGAACACTGCCCCAAGGGACTCACCTCTGCAAGGAGCTTTCCAGTATAGTGGGAAGGTTCCTGTTTCCATCTCTCTTCTTGGTGGAACAGTGTTCTCAGCCAGGGAGAGGAGAGCCATTCTGCATCCTGTGGTCTGATTCAAGGGAGAATTTTAATCATCTAAGAGGAACCCAGCCAGAGTAATTCCTAGACCAGCTGAGTTCACCTCTCAGAATGACCTGGCTCTCTTCCACTGCACTCAGTTTTTTTCCTGGCAGCCAAAGGTACTGTAAACACGGTCTCTGGACCTTGGAAATGTTGCAGGAATTTTTCTCTTTGTCCGCGCCCATGGTTCTTGGTCACACCACTTCTAAGAATGAAGAGGTAGACCAGACAGAGTGGTGGGCAGCAAAGCAAGCTTTATTGAAAGATAGCAGCAAAGTGATAGTACAAAGCTCCTAAGGAGGGAGGGGACCCAAAGGGGTTGCCACTGGAGTTTCTAAGTCTAGATTTTTTGTGTGTGGAAAAGTAAAAATGCCTCTTTATTTTTGGATTGGAGGAATGCATACTCTATTGGAAGGCAGCTGGTATCTGTGACTTGAGGGAATTTCTTTCTTTTTTTTACATTAAAAAATTTTTTTTAAAGATTATTTATTTATTTGAGAGAGTGAGAGGAGAGAGAGAGAGAGAGAAAGAGAGAGCGCGAGCAAGCACGAGAGGGGAGAAGTTAGAAGGAGAAGCAGATTCTCTCTTGCCAAGCAGGGAGACTGATGTGGGACTTGATTCTGAGACTCCAGGATCATGACCTGAGCCGAAGGCAGTTGCTTAACCAACTGAGCTACCCAGGTGCTCCTTTCTTTTTTTTTCCCATTTATTTTTTATTATGTTATGTTAGTCACCATACAGTATGTCATTAGTTTTTGATGTAGTATTCCAAGATTCATTGTTTATGTATAACACCCAGTGCTCCAATGCAGTACACGCCCTCCTTAATACCCATCACTGGGCTCACCCATCCCTCCACTCCCCTCCCCTTTAAAACCCTCAGTTTGTTTCTGCTAGTCCACAGTCTCTCATGGTCTATCCTCCAATTTTTATGGGCTTGTTGGCAGGCTGTTTCAATCTGATTAACCCTCCCTGTGCCTGACATCTAATCAGGTTTTTGTCACCTGTCTATCATATGGAGAAGGGTAGAGGGCTTCTTCCAGGGTGGTGTAAAACCCTTTTAAGAGTGGTTTCCTCTTAGAGTGGGGACCCCTTGTTCCTGCCTGCTTTCCAAATGTCCTTCATCAGAAGGAATTTCTCCTGGTGCCTACAGCAAAGAAGGTGTCTGTGGTGTTGGGAGAGCAGCCCCCAGGGCAAGTTGACTCCACTCTGCGGGAAAGTCAGCTGGGTTCTCCTATTTTCCTACTCTGAGAGTCCAGAAGACCCCATGAACACAAAATCGCATTCCTTCCTCCTGCCATAAATGTCTTTCTCATGCTTTGTCTATTCTAAAATCCAGTGATGTCATCCCTTTGGTTCTAGGTTATCTGGCTATTGGAAGGCTAGAGGTGACTATAACTGGGTACTTCCCTCCCACCGCACCCCAGTTGATTAGGCCATGATAATATGTCAGCACTTTAGGCTCTGGTTAACTGGTTTGTCCTGAGGGCAGGACTTCTAGAGAAGAAGCTCTGGAATATTAAAAATGGTTCCTTTGCCCTCCCTCTCTGGGAACATGAGGAGGTTTTTCTCTGTTATTACTCCAGGAGGTGTCTAGTTCCAGGAGGCGAATCCCACCAGTGGACTTTTCTCTCATGTGTACTGTGAGAACCTGGTCAAGTTCTTAGGGTAAAATGCAAAAGTCACATCTGTGGTGAGTCCCCTATGAGTGAGTGCCCCGGGAGTTTTTCGGTTTTTTAAACGTTTTATTTATTCATTTGAGAGAGACAGACAGACAGAGACAGTGGGAATGGAGAGAGGCAGAGGGGGAGGCAGGAAGAGTCTGAAGCAGACTCCACACCAAGTGAGGACCCCAGGTGGGGGTGGGCTCGATCCCAGGACAGGGAGATCTTGACCTGAGCTCAAACGGAGGAGAGTCGGATGCTTCCCTGACTGAGCCACATAGGCACCCCTCCCCTGGAGCTTTTAACTCTCAGAGTTGTCCACACCGAGCCTCCCGCAGCTCACCAGTTCACAGTCAGGTTATCCTGGCCCAGCACTGGCTCCGAGCACTGAGGTCTGCCCTTGTTGCGCCTTGGTTCTGGTAAGACATTACTCCCTGTATTCAATTGTCTCTCCAATCTTAGGGGCAAAGGTTTGCCCTGTGCTAACCTCTCTTAAAGATCTAGAAGAGTTGTTCTTTCCCCCCCAGTCTCTTTAGCTTTTCATTGTTAGGACAATTAAATTTTCATTGTTAGGCAGCTTCCATGTTTCCTACATGTGGAAGGCAGTGCAATCATTTTCAGTTGACAACTCGGGATGCCTCCAGCCCGAAGAGAATGAATTTGTGGTGTTGTGGCTAGTCTGCTATAGTTGTCGTTGTGGTTTTGGTGTTTCCTGAGTCCCGTTCCTACTCAGATTGTGTAGAACTGAAGGAGTCATCCATTAGGCATCCTCCTCCTCAATGCATTAAAAACTCACATAAGAATTTTCAACCTGGGTGGCTCAGTGGGTTAAGCCTCTGCCTTCGGCTCAGGTCATGATCTCAGGGTCCTGGGATCCAGCCCAGCACTGGGCTCTCTGCTTGGCGGGGAACCTTCTTCTTCCTCTCTCTCTGCCTGCCTTTCTGTCCACTTGTGGTCTCTCTCTCACTTTGTCAAATAAATAAATAAAATCTTAAAAAAAAAAAAAAAGAATTTCAACCAGGTACAAGACTCTGGCACACCCTGGTAAATCATCTTTTTAAAAAACTTGAAATGAAAAAGTGCAGGAATCTAACTTAAAATAATGCAAAATGCAAGTTACAAGTCGGGTTTATCAGCTTGCCATGAAATTGTGTTTCCAAACAAGATCGTTTCCAATCTATCCTGATTTCTAGGTATAATGTTATGAAACAAGATCATAAAATCAAGGGATAAATGGTCAAATGACATTTATTTTATTTTATTTTACTTTATTTTTAGAAAGAGGCAGTGTGTGAGCAGGGAGGAGCAGAGGGAGGAGGAGAGTATTTTTTTTTTAAGAGTTTATTTATTTGACAGACGGAGATCACAAGTAGGCAGAGAGTCAGGCAGAGAAAGAGAGAGAGAGAGAGAGAGGGAAGCAGGCTCCCCAGTGAGGAGAGAGCCCGATGTGGGGCTTGATTCCAGGATCCTGGGATCATGACCTGAGCAGAAAGCAGAGGCTTTAACCCATTGAGCCACCCAGGAGCCCCAGAAGTAGAGTATCTTAAGCAGGTTCCACACTTGGTGAGGAACCAACGGGGGATTTGAGCTCGGGATTCTGAAATCATGACCTGAGCCAAAGTCAAGAGTTCAACGTTTAACTGACTGAGCCACCCAGGGAGCCTTATTTTATTTTTTTTAATTTTTATTATTTTTAAAATTCTAGCATAATTATAATACAGTTTACATATTACTTATTAGTTTTGGGGGTATGGATGGTGATTCACCAATTCTATTCATTACTCATCACGACAAGAACCTATTCAGCCATCCTCCCACCCACCTCCCCTCTGGCAACCACCAGTTTGCTCTCCTTATTTTAGAGTCCATTTTTATGTTTCTGTTTTTTTCTTTGTTTGCTTTGACTCTTAAGTTACCCATAAGAGTGGAATCCTATGGTATTTATCTTTCTCTGGCTGACTCCTTTCACTCGGCCTTATGTCATCTAGACCCATCTGTGCTGTTGTAAATGGCAAGATTTCATTCCTTTTTATGGCTGAGTCATTTTCCACTGTGTATATACCACATCTTCTTTATCCATTTATCTATCAATGGACACTTGAGTTGCCTCCATATCTGGCAATTGTAAATAATGTTGCAATAGACATAGGGGTGCATTTGACTTTTCAAATTAGTGTCTTCATATCCTTTGGGTAAACATAGAGTAATGGAATTACTGGATCACATGGCAGTTATATTTCTAATACTTTGAGGAAATGTCATAGTGTTTTCCACAGTGGGTGTACCAGTTTGCTTTCCCACCAACACTGCACGAGGGCTGTTTTTTGCCAAAATCTTGTGAACATTTGTTGTTTACTGTGTTTTTGGTTTGAGCCATTCTGACAGGTGTGAGGTGATACCTTGATGTGGTTTTGACTCATATTTCTCTGGTGATTAATGATGTTGAGTGTCTTTTCATGTTTCTGTTGGCCATGTGTATGTCTTCTTTGGAGAAATGTCTTTTCCTGTCTTCTGCCCATTTTTAAATTTGATTCTTTACCTTTTGGTGTTGAGCTGTACAAGGTCTTTATATATTTTTTATACCAACTCTTATTGGATATATCATTTGTTAATCTCTTTTCCCACTCAGTAGGTTTTCTTTTGGTTTTGTGGATTGTTTCCTTCATCGTGCAGCAGATTTTTCTTTCGATATGGTCCTGATAGCTTATTTTTGCTTTTGTTTCCCTTGCCTGAGTTCTGATATCTAGAAAAAAGTTTCTATGGCCATTGTCAGAGAAATTAGTGCCTGTGTTGTGTTCTAGGATTTTTATGATTTCAGGTCTCACATTTTAATCCATTTTGAGTTTGTTTTTGTGTATGTCATAAGAACTTGGTCCAGGTTCATTCTTTATTGCATGCAGCTGTCCAGTTTTCCAACACCATTCGTCAAAGAGACAATCTTTTTCCTATTGCGTATTTTTGCCCCCTTTGTCATAGATTAAGCAACCATAGAATCGTGGTTTTCTTTCTGGGCTCGCTACACTGTTCCCTTGATGTAAGTGTAGAGAGATTGACAAAGTAAAGCTTGAAATTGCTGGAAGTCACCCTAGCACCCTCTGGGTACACACCCTAATTACTGTCACACACCACCAGCCCATGTTTGTAGCCACCAAAGATCTCAGAGTGAGGAATGAATGTTGGCTTGGAAGGCTTAAGGCACACAGGGCAGCCAGAGGGAAAGTCCTGAGCCTACAAAGTGAGGTGGCCATGAAATTGGCCACTAGAGCAGTCCTTTCTTACCCACGCTGCAGTCCCCACTGCACTGGTGAAAGGTATGGTTGGATCTCTCATCAGAAAAGTGTAGTCCCAGGACACGTATATTTACAAATGATTTCACAGGGTTCTTCAGCTTGAAACCTCGAGTCTTGGAGTGGAAATCCTTTCTGTGAAAAGATGTGGCACCTGAGAACAGTCACCTACAAGAGGCTCAAGTGGCAGAGGCCAACCTCCCTGCCACTCAGTCTCTGCCATGTCGCCCTCATCAGTTCAGCCCTGCACCTCCAGGTGGAAAGCCTATGGCCAAAGCTCAAGGCCTAAACTGCTGAGCCCCAAAGTCCCAGACAGGGTCTGAGCAGGGGCTGTCTGTGTGCAGCCTCCAGGATGCACTGAGCCTGGGATCCACCACCCTGAGCCCTGTCCCTTGTTCAGCTCACCTTCCTTTCCTCTGTGCCCATGTGTATTTGCATCCTACTAACCAGCTCTTCTATTGCTGGTTCCCCGCTCCCCGCCACCCTCAAGCCTTGCCAGTATACCTACGCTATACAGAGTTCTCCAGGCGGGAGCTTTTATTCTCTCATGGCAGTGCCACACCAAGGGTTAAAAAGGAGGAATGCTGAATGAGGTCATCCTGGAAACAGGGTATCCCCAAGTAGAGCCCACCAACGGGGAAGGGGAAGAGACATGGCCCAAGGCGGTGTGCCCTAAAGTGCTAAAGCTTTTGGGGACCGAGGAGAGGGGTGCACCGTGGTTCCCGTCACTCGCGGCACACTTGGGGCTAGTCTGCCTGGGTGGGGTCTCCGCCTGCATCCACAGCCCCGTGATGCAGCCTCACCAACCACATTCACAGCCCGCCCTGTGGGTGGGGGGATTTGCAGCTGGGGGCTGCCAATGCAACAGCAAGGCTTCACTTGCAGTCGCGCTGGGAGAGTGTGTAGAGGCTGAGGATTGTGCGCTGCGCGCTCAGACTTGGAGATCCAGGCAACAGTGAGAAGCTTCTTTCTAGGCATTCTTTGTGCGGAAGGCAACAAGTCAGGACTTCGGACTTTCCAGGGGAGCTTGAGAGTGGAAAGATCAGGTGGAGGGGTCCTAAAACCCTCCAGTTGGGTGGGTCCAGGTGCTGCATAATTGCGTTTTAGGGTGCGCACTTAAAATCGACAATTACTGCAGGTATGATGAAAGCCGATCATGATCATGCTGTGTGTGCATGGGATCCCATGAGAAGCCCAGAGAAGTTTCAAGGATTGCCTGTCTCAGAGCGATGGGTACAAAGAACGATCTAATTTGGCTTCACATGATAATTAGGCATGAGCTCACTGGGAAATGGTTTTGATTCATTTTTTTTCTCTTTATTTCATTCAAGAAGGTTGAGAGGATTGTCGGGGACAGAGAGGATTCCTGACTCGCTGAAACTACCAGTTCTCCACCCGCAGCAGGACAGGAAAATGTAAGTGGGGACTCCAGCCCCACCCAGACAAAGCGGGAGACAGACAGGACCCAAGAACACCAACTGACGGTCCTTCCGTTTGTCCTCCGTGGACAATGGCCAGAACACTTGGAGCACAGACTTCAGACTACCTCAAATAGGACTAGTAGAGAGAGCCATGGTCCTTCTTGGGAGTGGTGGGGGTCTTACTCTGCCCAAGGCACCGGGATGGTGAAGGCATCCATCACACTCATGAACATAGTCTTGTCAGTGATCTGGGTGAGGCACGCGGAGTCCTAGTTATACTTACACATGCCTTCCACCATGGTAGGTGTTCCCTGACAGTGCCTAGAGAGCAGGAACTGGCTCCTAGGAAGGTGATCAGGAAGTCAGCGGCCATCTTCTAAATTTCTTTGAGAATGCACTTCTGGGTTTGTTTGCCTTGCCCTCCAGGAAGCAGCGTTTACCGGGCTTTGTGAAAGATGATCTTGTAAGACCTGGTGCTGGCTCTGGTCTAGCCCTGAACCTGTGTACACAGGCACCCGCAGCTGGGAGGAACATTGCTCTGTTCAGGCAGCTATGGTGGTCGCGGCTACCAGGCAGAAGACAGGCAGCGGGGCGGGGGGAGGGGCGCTGGCGGGGAGGTAGTGCCTGAGTCCCGATGGGGATGGAGTCCAACACTGTGAACCTCCTCACACCAAATGATGAAATAAGTTTACAAAACCAAGTGCAAATTAGTCAAACGACTATTTGGAAATCAGTATTTTCCTTGGCAAATTATATATTAGAGCGTGTTCTGGGTAGCCTTAATTTAGAGAGGTTCCAGGATAGCCCGACATAATCTAAGCAGCCCGCACGCGTGAAGGTTTAAACTTCCTAGAACTGACTCGATAAATCAAGGATGGACTCAGAAGAGAATGGTTTTGCGGTTCACACTAGGACGTCTAAAAACCCGCCACCTTGCCAGTCCACCACGAGGAGAGTGCGTCTTACATACCCGATCGATCCCCAGTCCCGAACTTTCTCCCTCACGGTGGGGCAGCACCGGGAGTTAAGATGAAAGAAAGCTGCACACAGGCATCTCACAAAGTAAATGTCTTTGACGGTGGCCACCAAATTAGAAGGGAAGGAGATGTGACCCAAGGCAGCTAGCTGTGCATTATGAAATGCAAAAGCTTGTGGGGACTGAGGAGAGGGGCGCATCGTTGCCCGGATCACGTACGGCGAACCCGGGCATTATTTCCGCTCTGCCTGGGATACATACATAACTGGGGTCTCTGCCTGCGCTGCACAGCCCCGGGATGTCGTCTCCCACCCACTGCACCTACAATACCATGATTGCCGCGAGGACCACCGCTGCCGCGTGGACCCCGGCTGCCGCCACAGACACGCTTCCCACTATGGCCCCCTTGCCGCCGTGGTCACGTTTGCCGCCTGGGGAGAGTATGTGGAGGCTGAGGCTCACATGCTTCATGCAGACTCCGAGATCCAGGGAACAGTAAGAACCTCTTTCTCTGCACTCTTTGTGCTGAGGGAAGCAAGTCAGGACCTAGGACCTCCAAGCAAGCAGGGAGCAGAAAGATCATGTTGGAGGGGTCCTAAAGCCCTCCAACTGGCGGGTCCTGGAGAGAGCAGAGGCGCCACATGTGAGAGCACACTTACAACTGAGAGTGATATGATTTCAGCAGATATCACCATGCCCTGTGTGTATGCGATCCCATGAGAGAGAGACTCAGAGCATGAGCCTCATGACCCCATGTCGATGCACCGTGTGTTGGACCCCGTCACAGGCTTGTGCTCCGAGGAATGCGCACACGTTTGGAGACAAAATGAGTTTGTGTGAAAGCTTTGCGTGTGAGCTTAGTGTCTGTGCTGATTCCTCAGTACCTTCAAGCCTGCTCCGCTCTCTAGTGAAGGACGGAAGTGCGGGGACGGCGGGCACAGGGCTGGGATTGCGGGACACTGGGAACAACTTGACAAACAGCAGCCGGAAACAAGGGACAACTGGACAAATGGCTCTAACGGGGTGAGGAGCCAGAGGTGATGGATGGCAGAAGAGGGAGACCAAGGGCTAGAAGTCCCTTTGGAGGCTTGGGAAGCAGCGGTGCCTAACACCTTCAGGCTCAGGCCCAGGAGGGCTCCCAGCTCTTCCTAAACTACAGGCCAGACCACCCAGCACGAATCCAGAAAGCCACACAAGGTGGGAAGCCGGAAAATTGTGATTTAGACTTCAGAGAATCCCTCTCTGGGCCTGAGCTCTTCTAAATCCCTCTGTAGCTGGGGTACAGGCACATGGCTACTAACGACAACATGTTCTGAATCCAGGAATATATATGGTCCCCTTTTCAAAGATGATGGTGCCCCAAGGGGTACAGTTAACTCCCCTTAACTGTACCCCCTGGAATTGAGTTCTATGGACAAAGTTCTTGAGATCACTCCCATCTCTTGCTTCCCATGTGCTTTGCCCCTCTGTGATTCCAGCTGCCCAAATCAGACACCCTGCTTGTGCCCAGAGTCAACGCTGCTGCAAGTTTTTAACTGTCCAAGCCTCACTTGGATGGGGGAATCTAGGGTCAGACCTGGGGAGCTGGGACGTCTTGCTTCCTGGATATTATCCGATAGGACTGCACCGCTGGGTTGGTGAGGGGCACAGGTTCATAACCCAATGGAACTAAACAGGTAAAATTTACCTTGACGTCAAACCGCCCTCAACTTCCTGCTCCTATTAAGGGTATTTTCCTGGTCCCCACCGTCCCTCTCCCTCCCTCCACTCCCATCATGACCTCAATGCAAATACAAGTGGGGTGGTCCTGCGGAATGTTCTAGGTTCTGGACGTAAATGGGTGACACAATCCATCAGGGTACGAGATCTGTTCTCTCATTGGTTGCTCAGAGCTCCAGGACCACCCCAGACCCAGAGCAGCGGGAATAAGAGCTGCTCCTGGTGCTGGGAGGCAGCAGAGCCACTGCTCCGCTCAAGAGTCCCTGCGACTTCCACAGCGCCATCGCCTGACGCCAACGCTGCCACAGCTGCCACCACCTGGGCTCCAAGCCACCTGCTTCCAGGTGAGTTCCGAGATTCCCGCTTCACTGTGTGAGTCTATCTCTCCCTCTTCTTCCCTCTCTCTTTTGCACTCGTCCTTCTTGTAGCTGCTCTCCGTTACTCCAGGATTCATCGCAGGCTCCTGCCTCAGGTAACACTGGCCAGTCTCAGTTCCGGGACTTCCTGCTTCACTGCGCACTGAGACCCACTTCAGTTCGCTGATCTTGTCGCACTTGCTTTGGGACACTGGAGCTCCACAGATACCGTGTGCACAGCGGGGCACAGGGGTGCTCACGGACCTGTTTGTGCCTAGTGGTCCCTGGGAAATCATTTCGGAACTTTGGCCAGCCTCAGTGGGTGGCAAATAGGCTCAAAGACCGAGAGGAAGGCAGCCTTGGATAGCAAGCCCTTTTAGTGAGTTCTGGGACATTTTCCTCTCTGCTTTAAGACCTAACCCCAATTTAAGACTCTGTTAAGCTGGTTCTTGCAGGGAATTCTTTGCCAGAGTGCGGAGCAGGTAAGCAGTATTTGTTTCTTCAGTTTCTCTAAGATTCCATCGGTAGAGATAATTCCCTTTTATCGACCTCCCCATGCCCCACCAGATAAGAGCAAAAGCCCCACACAGGGATGACAGTTCTGGGTTGTGATAGGAGAGCCACTTGGTGACAGGGTGCTCAGAGATTATCTTCAGTGGAGACCTGTCCAGGATGTGAATTTGATAGTGTGCCCGGTGGTGGGGAGGGGGCTCCCGACAGAATCCTCTTCACCCAGTGGTCTGCTAGGATAGCTCTTCTTTGCTAAACTATGCATGCTACAGGCTCACTGGATCTTTCAGCCATCCACTTTCCTGGGGAGGAAACAATCATAAAGGGAATAACATGCCCAGCCTGAAGCTGTCATCCCAGGGAGTTAGAGGTAGAAGCAGGACTAGAGCCCAGGTCCTTGGGCTCACAGAATTCAGACTGGCGCATAAGGTGACGTCTTTCTTCCCTCTTTCTTCTCTTACAGAGAAGCATCATGGGCTTCTGGAAGTTCTCTCCTTTCCTGGTTCTCAGCATCCTGGCCCTGTACCAGGTGGGCGTCCTCCAGGCGGCACCATTCAGGTAAGACAGCCCTGCCAGGAGTGCACCCCCCTCCCACTGCTCAGACTATGTCTTTCTCAGAATTCTGGTGTGCTGAAAGTTTGCTAACTGGTGAGAGGGACAACAGGGAAGTGTGTATTTTTTCTCATATACAGATGTGTAGCCCATAATTGAAAAATAGCAATGAATTTCATACAACACATTGAGTGTCACTATGCTTCTGTTGTTTTTACCAGGAAGCCTGGATGCTTATTCTGGGGAGAGGCAGGCAGGGACTCAGAGCTTGTATTGGGTTTTCTTTCCCTCCCCAGGTCTGCTCTGGAGAGTCCTACAGACCCTGATGTGCGCAACGAGGAGGAAATGCGACTCCTGCTGGCTGCAGTGATGAAGGAGTATGTGCAGATGCAGATGAAGGCCCAGGAGCTGCCCCAGGAGCAGGAGACTGAGGGCTCCAGGTGAGGCTTCCCCCACCCCTGGCTCAGCTCAGGGCATCCCCTCCCTCCTGTCATGGCCAGGAAGGCATATCCCAAGAGGTAAGAGAGAACACGGCTGGAAGGAGGCGAGAACCCTGCCATGGTTCACCTCCACCTGGGTCCCGGGATTCTAAGGCTCCACTGAAAATAGAGGTCACAGAGACGATGGTTAGAGCTCACAGAAAAATATCCCTTTCTGAAAGCAGTTAGGGAAGGTATGAAATCCCCCACTCTAGCAGTTGGGCTGGCAGCACCGAGGAGACTTCCCGGGATCAGAGGAGTTAGGACTGGTAAGTGTGACCTCTCACTGACAGGTCTTCTCTTCTTTTTCCATCTTGCTAATTAGAGTCACCGTCCAGAAGAGATCCTGCAGCTCTGCCACCTGTGTGGCCCACTGGCTGGGAGGCTTGCTGAGCAGAGCCGGAAGTGTGGCAAACACCAACCTGCTACCTACCAGCATGGGATTCAAAGTCTACAATCGCCATGGCAGGGAGCTTAGGGCTTAAGCAGTGGAAGTGCTCCCGGAAGAAGGTGACTGCCCTTCTAGTGGCTGGTGGAAGGATGGAAACCTGGGTAGTGCAGGGGTGCAGTCCATATGTTAAGCCTCTGAGAGCCCTCTGTTAGCCGTATGACCATGGGTCAGAGATGTTTTCTGAGCCAGTTTCTCCATCTGTGAATCAAGGGCAACAATAGTATCTACTTGCTAGATTAATATAAAGACTGAATGAGATAACAGATGTCAATATTTTCACAATTAATAAGTTACTAAATTCTGGTTATTTGTTTTTTTCTAGGTCACCATGAAGCGAACTCTATTTCCTTTAATTTAAAATGAATGCAACTCATAGGATAAGGAGCATGGAAAACACACACATCTGCATGCTTAATATTAAAAACATTCTTGTCTGAAATAAATTAAATCTAAATAAAAAAAATAAAATTATTGCAATTACCTAGTGTGCATCTTTTGGTATGACAGCATGTCTGTATCTGGTAGCAACGATGGGCCCTGTGAGCCAACCCATGGATGTTGGCGATCCTGCAAACCCTCAGGGGGATGGGGAGTAGCTGCCTGGTGGGTGTCTGGGGGCACATAATAAATGTGGGGCCTGCATGGAACTCTGTGAAGAAATGTTGTCACTGGTGAACTTCATCACGATAAGAAAGGGTTTTTGACACATTTGAGAGGAGTCCCTACTGTTATTTATGGTGTTTCTCCCCAGAAAGCCTAAAGACCTGTGAACGCTTTGTCGAGGTTGACCATGAAGCAAAGGCAACATGCTTGGGATGGGATGGGTCCTCAGTATCCCTTTCTGGAATTAGAACTCTATACATCTCAAAGATAATTCCCCTTTATTTGCAGAGTTCCCTGGTCCCCAGCCCAGAGATTGTCTGTGCACTTCCTCTTGACTCAGGTTTGCCCTTGCCCAGCCCTGCCTTTCCTCCCCATCAGCACCCCTCCTCCTCCCCATAGCCTGCAAACCCCTTGAGAAACAGTGGCTCAGAGTCTGAGATGCTGCCACAGACTGACAGGCCAGGAAAGGTCAGCAGGTACCATTCAGTCCAACTTTTCTTATCCTCTGGGGTGTGGAGAAGAAAAGCATGTTGCTCTAAAACCCGTACTATGTTTAACAGAAACATTCATACCTTTAACAAGTACTCATTGAGTGGCTGCTATGTGGACTCTAGTCCAGGCCCTAGGAGTACAGGGATGAACTGAAGGGACACTCTAACTGGTGGAGAGTAGGGTGATATATGCAGTGGCATCAGAGATGCCTGGTACTGGAAAGAGCCTGGGATGTCTGAGTTTAATGCTTTACCTCATGTAGGAATTTCACAGTGTTAGCATCCTTGGCACCTGCTGGGACTGTCAGTGCCATGCTGCTGACTGGCTCCCAGGATGACTGTGCAGCCAGCTTCACCTGTGGATGGTCAGTTTGGTGAGATCGTTTAGTTGGAAAGTCACCCACTTCTACCCACTGACTAGTTATTTTTTTCAGGAGCCCCTTGAATTATGACCCTTGTTACCATTCAGTCCATCCTCCACACTGTCACCCACTATTTCTGGAAATCACCCACATGTCTCTTTTATGCACAAAGTACTCCTTTGACTCCCCATCCCATGGAGTAAACCCCTGGCGCATTGCACCGGCTTCTAAGGTCCACACTGATCTCCCCCCCACCCCTCCCCCCAACCCCATGACCGGCCTGGCCTCATCTTGTACTTCCTTCTCACACACTGGCCTTCTTACTATGCTCCAATCCACAAACCTGGGCACCACCCCCCTCTAGTGTTTGTGCCTGCTGCACCTGTTACAAAATGCCCCCCATCCCGTGACCCCATTTCCTCCAGATCTTCACTCAAATGTCATCTGGCCTGGCCATCCTTTCTGAAATTGTATCTCACCTTGCCAACACACCTTAACCCTCTTTTCTGCCTTATTTTTTTCTCTTTACCACTTACTACCTTCTGTTAGAGTTTATCTTTTTTAATTAGTGTGGTATTTGTAACCCATTCCATAAATGTTGTAAATCCCACACGAACAAGGATATGACTATTTTGATAATAGCTTATTTCTCAATACACAGAACAGTAAGCTTGGTACAAGGTAGCACTCAAATGTTTATTTATTGAATGAATGAGAGAATGAATGGAATTATGTCTCCTCTTTTATGTTTGTGGTCAATTCTCAAGTCCCTGCTCAGCCTGATTTTCTTCAGGACAAACTGTCCAAGGGCCTTCATCTTCAGCAGTTTAGATACCTGGACTGTGAACCCTTCAAATGCCTGGATGCTTCTGCAATGGCCACCAACAACTCTGCCTCCTGCCTCAACACCTCCACAAGGCCTGTTTCTTTGGTTTGAGCACCCTTCCTGCCCTATAGTTTCCCTCCTCCAGATTCATCTGACCAGCTTTTCTTCCTCCCATACTGTAAACAAAGCAGACAGGCAGGGTGCTCTCTAGGAGTGATACCTAAGACTAGGTAAGTAAGTTCAAATTGGAAGGGGAAATAGCTGGGAAACCATCTTAGTCTGGGATCCAAGGCAACTTCACCAATCCTTAAGCTAATACTGCACTGAATTCCCTCCAGATTCTGGATACTTCTCCATTGACTCAGAGCTCACAGAGTGCAAGTGACTAATGAACAAACCTTCAAACCATGACATACGGTGCATGGGTGCACAGAACCCTAAGAAGCTAGGTAAGGAGTGGGTAAGGAATCAAAGCACAACATGGAACAACAGAAGACTTTTGCTGGACTCCATCATATGTCCTTACGACTCAAAACCACATGGGCCATTAGAGCAGAAGAATGTCCTGTAGTATCATTAAGATCATGGCAAATACTCAGAGCTTGAGAATATATGCTGTGGCTGATTGAATTACTGCTCCCAAGTCTTCACTATGCCATGGTAGGATGAGCAGTCTCGCCTTGGTCACATGGTTGGTGAAATGGACATCCCCGCCCCTTGATGTTGAGCTTAGCCAAGTAGCTTGACTAGGCTGATGCAATGTTGGTAGATGTGGTAAAGCTGAGGCCTGAAATGTGTTTGTGTGTTTGAGTTTTGCGCTCTTGTGATACTGCCATCACCCAGAAATGTACATGCTTAGGTGTCCTTTGCCCCTTTGGCCTGGACTCCAAAACAAGGTCTGTGGACCTAAACCTGACCTGTGGTCTAGATCCACATGCAGCCAACATCAGCTGAGATCATCCTCATCCCTACTACACGTCCATGACCAAGAAAATAAGTATTTGCCTTTGTAAAACCTGAAAGTTTTGAGGTTGTTTATATGTAATATTGCAGTGGCAAAAGCTGACTGGTATATAGGCTTCGGAAGTGTTATAAAGTGAATGTGTTCCCTCACAAACTCTAACCCTCAATGTGACTGTGTTTGGAGACAGGGCCTGTAGGGAGCAGCTAAGATTAAGTGAGATCCTAAGCATAGGGTCCTGATCTGATAGGACAGGTGTCCTTATAAGAACAGAGAGCGATCAGAGATCCCTCTCTTTCCCTCTCCATGCACACGCATAGAAGGGGCCTGATGGGGACATGGTAAGTACATGGCCATTTGTAAGACAGAAAGTGAGACTTCACCACATGGCAAGGCTGATGGGACTTTGATCTCACAAGTCCAGCACCCAGAACTGAGAACAGTACATGTCTGCTGCTGAGCTGTCCAGCCTGTGCTGTTCGGTAATGACTGCCAGACTAATACAGGGGTCATTAGATGGTGGAAGTATTTTTGGTACCACAGCTTGTTTTTCCTCTCACTGAGACTTTGGGCTTTGTGTCGATTTGCTCAATGTCCAAATTAGCAATTTTATTCGTTTCTTTTTATGAGTTCATTTGCATTTTGTTTCCCTAAAATCGACTTAAGGAATATTCATTGTGTTTGGTTCAATCTCCTGCTGCTGAAACTGGATCATCTTTACTGTAGATAATGAAGCGGTTTTCTCTCGTACTGAATACATACATCATACTATAGAGCAGTGAGTATAGGTATATGTACCGACCTGGAGCAACATCACATATAATACTGAGTACAAAATAAAGCAAATTTCGAAGGACAGATACCAGATGATACTGTTTTGCATTTAAAACATGTCTAACATTACTGTACAAAACCTACACATGTATACAGTCATTCATAGGGAGAATAAACATCATATTCTAAAAAAAGTAACTTTACAGGGTGGGAACAAAATGTCAATAAGAAGGGTGTTTAGTTAGCACCCAGGATAATTTTGTTTTATTGTGTAAGCTGGGTAGGTGGAATATGTGAATGGTCACGATATTTGTGTTTAGTAGGAAAGAATTTCGTAAGTATGATTTACATTAATTTACATTAAGGCAACTGTTGTCAATTTTTTAAATGTATGAATTTTAAATACCCAAAGAGGATCTGTTCTATTCAATGGAAAGCATGAAAAAAAAAACCCCAAAATATCCAGTGAATGCACAATTGAGAAAAGATGGCAGTAATAAATACTCACATAGTTTTAGAATAGTGGTATCTTAAAGTCACCAATTGAGAGCCAAGACTATCTGCTGCATCTTTTTAAAAAAATACAATATTTTTTCCACAAGAGAAACATTTAGAACAGAAGGACTCAGAATTGATTAAAATAAATGGGTAGTAAAAGATAAGTGACAAATATGAACAAAAATAAATTGAAATAAGGTCATAATCTGGGATCAAAATTGAATTCAAGGCAAAAAAAAATTAGTGGAAATGGAAAGGTGTCATGTGATGGGAAAAGGAACCAAATGTCAAGAAGATATATTGGTAATACACACACATGCACCCAACAACATGGCCTCAAATTATGTGAAACAAAACCCGACAGA